TCCCTATGAGTTTGTTACAGGAACAGGGTCTGATACTGATGCCAGTTAGAGAAACAAATAAATAAACAAATAAAAAAAACCCAGAACTCTAAGTAAAAAGAGGTTAATTTTTACATTGTTACCAAATTTACCAGCATTTCTATTAAGGATGCAACTTTATTCTTATTGTTTTTGAATGATTTGATATTTAAAAATAAGGTATTTAGGATATAGAAAAACAAAGTAAATCAACAGAATTAAATATCCTCAGATTTTCTTTTATGGAAGGGATTAAGAATTCATGTGTAAATCAAGACTTTTTTATGATTCTTTATATTTATCCAAGGCAATAAATCTTTTTTCCAGGAAAAATTATTTTCAAGAATTTAAAACATTATTTTAAACTATAAATGCTGTTTCTATTCTTCCTTATGCTTTCTGCATTTTATAATGTATAAATTCAAATAATTTCTGTCAAAGATGTTATTCATATCATTGTAAAAACTTGCTAGGAAAAGAATCTTCTAAAAAAAAAAGAGCAGCATTGGTAAGTTAGGGATGTAGATAAAACATGGCTGTGCAATTCCACAGGCTGCAGGAAGGAACATGAACTTTAATGTTTGTTAGGCCAAAGGTATTATGATAACTTCCAACAACTAAACACGCTGTCCTTAAATTTTTAGAAGAGTTTATATCTTTAAAATAGTTGAGTCTTTGAACTACCGATAATTGTGTTTTCCTTCTGGAACTTGTTTCCTGTAATTATTTGTGCTTTCCTATTTTTTTTTTCCTACTGAAGTATCTTTTGTGTGTAAAAACAAACACCTTTTTGTCCTAAAATTGTTTAAAAAGCTTTAGAGACAAACATATACTGCATAGACGAGGAGGAATTCGATTTGTGAAAGGTGAAACCAGGTCACAGTTTAAATAGTGAACTGCATGCTCCTTTTTCTTTTTCTTTCCATATAAGATCCAGTCCTGAGCCTTTAAAGGAAGATTAAATTAATAGCGAGAACCTGTAAATATGCTTTTTCATAGCGAATGAAGATTTTGCCAAAATATAAATTAAGACAAACTTGCTGTGTTTTCTGTACTCAGCATTCTTCCATCAGTTCGGCGCATGCACAAGGAGAGTTATTCTTCTTCCAGCCTTCCAAGTCTTCACACTTCCTTCTCTGCCCCTTCCTTCACTGCCCCCTCTTTCCTGAAAAGCTTTTACCAGAATTCAGGTAGACTGTCCCCACAGTATGAAAATGAAATCAGGTGAGATCAGTGTCCTTTGTTTGCAAAGCAAAATTTTCTGCCGTGATATATTGATATGTTACTAACGAATGGCTGATTAATTTTGGAGTGACATTTATGCATCCTTATAGTGTGCTCATTTTAATGCATTTCTAATATATTGGTTTCAATTCCAAATATTTTTATTAAGAAACCTTTTAAAACCAACGTTTCAGAACTTCTAAAACCAGCTTTTTGATTACACGATTGTCTTGCTTTTTAAATTATTATTATTTTTGTACTATTTGTATGTTTCTTTGCCTTGGGCCCAAGAGTCTAAGCTTTGTTTCGTTTGGAACTAAACCTGGTCCAGTGCTAACACATACTAAGCAAACCTCCTCTGATTATGCCTTTTTTTACTTAGCTTCTCCAGAACTAGCTTATGGAACCTGAAAGCTACTGATTTAAACATCTGTACTAAAGTGATGGACATCATATATTTCTATTGTTATGTACATAGAATATTTCCTAGGCATTTCTTTGATTTTTCAATGACAGACTTACTTTTCTGACTCTCAGTGTAAATCACATAATGGGTATAGGATCATCTTGATAGCAACTCTTTCACATAGCATGAGAGTATCTGAATCTTGTAGATATTAGAGTTTGAATTGTTTTGGTTCCCCATATTGAAAATAGATAGCCTGTTAAGTCTTGTTCCCTAGTATTGAAAACGTATAGCCTGTTAAGTCTTTTAGCTACACAATATTAGATGTGATTTTAGAGCATTACCTTTTTAAAAAAGTTGAAATTATGAACTCTTACCAATCATTCAGATTCTTAGTGGGAAGAAGTGCGTTAAGTTGGGAATTCTTCTAAAAGGATGTTGTAGGCTTAGATGTTTGTGAGATTCATTCCTATTTTCATGTGTTTGCTTTACTCATTCATTTTTATTGCTGTATAGGATTCCATTTAATACACCACAATCTGTTCACTCTCTTGCTGATGGATATTTGAATTGTTTGGTAATTGGCAATTCTTGCAGTCCCGGAGAGGAATACATGCTATCAACCTGCGTGCCACTCAGATCTCCCTGGGTATTCTTTTGGTCTCCCTTCCTTTGGCCTTAGGAAATCCCCAAAGTTAACATATAACTAGGGAACCCTCTGTAACTACTTAAATTAGACTATTCCTTGAATTATTTTTGAGTCTCTTTTGTCCATGTGTGACAATTTTTTTTCCACTCCAAGAAAGATAATTAATACTGGAATAATAAAATTTTGAGTCTGAACTTTCTTCTGAATTAGTATAGTCATATTCAAATATTGTATTTCCAGTGAAGAAAGTTGATGAAGAATTGATTTTAAAGGGTTTTTTTAGGGACCACTTTACAGGAGAAAATTTAAAGAAAGTTAGCCACAAGAAAATCGTTTAATATATATAGAATATGCAATGAATTTAGAGAACCAAGAATAGACACACTCAAAAGTATCAGTTTGCCTTATCTCTGTAGTACTACCAATTAATAAGAATATAACACTTTCGGTGAACCTTATTTGCAATTTCTTATTGTTGTGTAAAAGTGAGCATCTGGAGAATCGCACTTTCCTTCTGGGAATAAAACCAGGCCTGAAAGTGACTATTAGAAATAGCCATTAAGAAGGTCAAAGATTTGCTGTGAATAGGATGTAGAGTACAAAAGCAATGACTTTTTAAAGATTACCGATAGTGTTTAATTAAGATTATATGTTCACCTTAGCAGTTTCTGCTTAGATATATGTATTCTTGCTTATAGTTTCCCTTAGCCCTTGATAGCTCATTCTGATAGAAGGACGTTAAAGTCCAGAGGGCAAATATACGTTCATTTTGCATTGAAAAATTCCACTTTTCTCTCGTTATCTTATTTGAGGTGCTATAGTTAAAAATGAGAACTTTTAAATTTGTAGAATAATTAAAAATCTTGCTGTTTAAAAAATACTTTGTAATGTTTTCTTGACTTTGAGAAATTCTAAAAATCAAAAAACACTTTTTTTCCTGTACTTTTTGTATGCTTTTTTTTTTTATAATTTGACAGCATAAACTCAATAGGCCAAAAAGACACTTAATTTTTTTCATTAAAAGATAACATAACCATAAAGCTCAACGGATCATCGGAGTAAACACCCCGTGTAACTGCCACCCAGTCCGTCAGTGCGATGCTATGAGCACTCCCGCAGCTCCTCGCATTTTCCCACCCAGGCAGCACCTCCTAGCCTGACATTAAATACCATAGCTTCGTTTTGCCTGGAACTTTATTTAAAAAGAATGATACAGTATAAATTCTTTTATATCTGGCTTCTATCATCGCTGAACATTAGTTTGTGAGAGTCAGCCCTCTGTTTATATGCAATTCTGTTTATTCATTTATATTGCTGAATACATTTATATTGTATTCCATTTAATATATCACAATTTATCCATTTTTTTTTGCTGGTGGACCTGTGGATTATTTCTAGATTTTTGGCTTTTAAAGAGTCGTGCCTTGGATATTGTACATGTTTTAGTTGTACATTCTATGCATTGTTGATGATTATCTACACAGTAGTAAAATTATTGGACAAAATTTACTCTTAATAGGTTTAACTTCAACTAATAGGTCACTTAGACGTAAATTTACTAGTTAAAATCTTGCATAGAACTTTTTTTAATTTGTATTTTGAAATAATTTTGAATTTATAGAAAAGTTGCAAAAATATTATGGAGAACTTTTGCTCTTTATCCGGATTCATTAGTTTTTAACATTCGACCTGCTTGTTTTATCATTCTTTGTCCATTTACATATGTATATGTATGTGTATACAGATATCCATTCATATATTTTATTCTAAGCCATTTGTAACTAGGTGAAATACATCATGTCCCTTTACTCAGAATACTTCAGTATGTATTTCCTAAGAATGAGGCTATTCATTAATCCAGTGATTTCTGACCTTTACATATCTCAATATCGCTACTTTCAGAGAGGACTTCATACATATATAATTATCATATCTGGAACTACTCAGAGTATTGAAGAGAGTATGTTCATAATACTATGAAT